GCAAAAGAAACAGTCATTAGAGTGAATTGGCAACCAACAGAATGGGAAAAAATTTTTGTAATCTACCCATCTGACAAAGGGCAAATATCCAGAATCTACAAAGAACTAAAACAGATTTACAAGAACAATACAGGCCAGGCGCAGTGGCTCATGCCTATAATCCCAGCACTCTGGGAGGCCAAGGCAGGCAGATCACCTAAGGTCGGGAGTTTAAGAAAAATACAAACAAGCCCATTCAAAAGTGGGTGAAGGATATGAACACTTTACAAAAGAAGAGATATATGAGGCCAACAAACATATGAAAAAATGCTCATCATCACTGGTCATTAGAGAAATGCAAATCAAAACTACATTGAGATACCATCTCACGCCAGTTAGAATAGTGATCATTAAAAAATCTGGAGACAACAGATGCTGGAGAGGATGTGGAGAAATAGGAACACTTTTACACTGTTGGTGGGTTTATAAATTAGTTCAACCATTGTGGAAGACAGTGTGGTGATTCCTCAATGACCTAGAAATAGAAATTCCATTTGACCCAGCAATGCCATTGCTGTGTATATATCCAAAGGATTATAAATTTTTCTACTATAAGGACACATGCACACAAATGTTCATTGCAGCACTGTTTACAATAGCAAAGACTTGGAACCAACCCAAATGCTCACCGATGATAGACTAGACAAGGAAAATGTGGCACATATACACCATGGAATACTATGCAGCCATAAAAAAGGATGAGTTTGTGTCCTTTGTAGGGACATGGATGAACCTGGAAACCATCATTCTCAGCAAACTGACACAAGAACAGAAAATCAAACACCACATGTTCTCACTCATAGGTGGGTGTTGAACAATGAGAACACATGGACACAAGGAGGGGAGCATCACACACTGGGGTCTGTCGGGGGGAAATAGGGGATGGACAGCAGGGGGTGGGGAGTTGAGTAGAGATAGCATGGGGAGAAATGCCAGATATAGGTGATGGGGAGGAAGGCAACAAATTACACTGCCTTGTGTGTACCTATGCAACAATCTTGCATGTTCTTCACATGTACCCCAAAACCTAAAATGCAACAACAACAAAAAAGGAAAGATATTTGGCAATTAAAAAAAAAAACTCTAGAAGAAAACCTAGACAATACCATTCAGGACATATGCATGGGCAAAGACTTTATGACTAAAACACCAAAAGCAATGGCAAAAAAGCCAAAATAGACAAATGGGATCTAATTAAACACAAGAGCTTCTGAAAGCAAAAGAAACTATCAACAGAGTAAACCAACAACCACCAGAATGGGAAAAAAATTTTGCAATCTACCCATCTGACAAAGGCTACTATCCAAAATCTATGGAGAACTTAAATTTCTATTTGGTTTTGTATCCTGCAACTTTATGAAATTCCTTTATTAGTTGCAATGGTTTTTTGGTAGCATCTTTAGGGTTTTCTGTACATAAGATTATGTCATCTGCAAACAAGGACAACTTGACTTCCTTCTTTCCAATTTGGATACCTTACATTTCTTTCTCTGCTTAATTCCTCTGGGGAAGGGGAGAAACCAAAATGTTTAAGATAGGAATAAAGGCTCAGGGTAATTTCAACTGCTGAGAATGTGTCATATTTCACTTCCATGGTTGTGTGACCAAGGAACTACATATTCAGATGTGTTCTGCTCTATGTATAGCTCCCATTGTTTTTCAGCTCCCATTGTTTTTCACCTCTCTTTAATTTGGAAGGACAGCAGGGTTTGTTGCAATAATAAAGCATTCTGTGAATGAAGCAACATTAAAATGTCAGAAATAAGGGAACTTTTCATATACGTCTGTATATAAATGAAGCAAAATAAAAATGTGAGAAATGGAAGGACTGCATCTCTTATAATGACTCTGAATACATTCTTGTAATGATTTCACTGTGATAATCTTATGAGATAAACATTATCATTTAAAAATAAGTGGCAAAATCATCTTGAATATAACTAAGCCTCACTTAGGGGTTATTTCTGCTGTATAAGCATATAGAAAAAAGCACTTTATTACTTCAATTACTACATCAAGATCACACCTGGTGTTAGACACATGGTTCAAAAACATCAGTGCATTTGTGTAGTAGTTGAGCTATCAATCATGGACGTCAAGTTCTTTCCGCTAATTAACCTTAATTGAGCTCTCTGTTACAGAAGCACCGTTTCCAATGAAGCAACTTAGCAATGATATCAAAATAGCAGAGCATAGTAAAACCAGGATTAATGTTACTTCCTGTTCCTGAATGCCAATGCCTAATTCACTGCCTTTTCTGTAATACAAAATATTATATCTTCTACCAAAATTTAAATATTACATAGAGCAAAAATTGGTACAGTATTTATGTAATTTGCATAATAAAATGATTTAGGAAAGCATTTTGGACATATGTGTCTTCACCTTATATTATTTCAAAGCAACTAGAATATACCATAAATATTAAAAATATAAACTTTTAAAAATTCAAAGATTAAAATCACATATTATCTATTATTTAACATGACTCTGAACTTAGTCATGCTCGAAACTAAATCTTTATTTCATTTATGTTCAGTATTATTTCCAATAGTACCACAAAACATCCATTAAGATAGAATTCTGCTGAAATAGGCAGCTTTATTAATCTGCCTGGAGTAATGCAGTGCAATTAATTCTAAATTTGATAGCCAGCAAGCACTTCAAATGTTCAATAGGTTATTTATTAAAAAGCAAATCAAGAAGATATAAGCTTTACGGCCAATGAACAGAGTGCTTAGATTTTGAAATGGCCAGGTTACTGGTATTAATAAGCTTTGTCAAATTCATTTTCAGACATGGATGGAGGAGTTTGTACTATTTTTCTGTTCATGTCATAGTTTCTGTCAAGAAGAGAGCCCGGATACCTTGGGGAAAGCTTCCTGACGTGCAAGTATTTGAAAATAAAAACGCAAAGACAGACATTTAGCAGATTCACAAAGGACAACAAACTCCTGGAGAATCTTGAGAAAAATTAAAGCAATAACAATGAAAGTGTTGAAAAGATTTAACCATTGATATAAATGTGGGGAAAAAACAGAAATACAAATATTGTTAATAAAAGTCATAGAAGTTCAGGTTAAAACCAACACGGATAAGCATTTACATAGGATAAGGGAGGCAAGCTGGGCCATGACTAGCTGTGACTTATAAACCATTCATTTATGTTATATTTACAGAGCCAAAATGCAAACCCAAGAGAAGTGGCACCATTTTGTTAGGTAATACCTACTGTCAATGCACTTATTATAGAGACTTAATTGAGCATGATAGAAAGAACGCTTCTCTAGGCATCTAAAACCTGGGCTTAAATGATAGTTTTGAAATCTAACAGCTGCATAACTATGGACAAATTACTGAAGAGCACTCACCAATAGACATTTCTGAGATGATAGATGCATTCTACATCTATGCTGCCCAATAAGATAGCCACTAGCTTTATTGGCTATTGAGTACCAGCATCTGGCTAGTGCAATTGAGAAACTGAATTTTTAACTTTGGTTATTCTAATTAATTTTCATTTAAATGGCAACATGTGGCTAATGGCTATAGTACTGGACAATTCAGTGCAACCTCAAGTGATTTCCACTCATATGAATTATGATCCTTTCAGTTGCCAGGCAGAGAAAATCTAACTTAAAGCTTAAACAACAAAGGGAATATATTAGCTCACTTTAACTTAAAAGTCTAGAAGTAAAAAGTTCTAGCCATAGTTCAATCAGGGTGCCCATTTGTCCTAAAACAGATCTCTTCCACCCTTAAACAGATGAACAGCTGATAAAAACCAACCACATCTACCCTCGTAACTCAATGGCATGATAGTCATCTGAGGCCCATCATTAGGAATTGAAATTTAATTGTGCTAGGTTGGAATTCAAGCATCTCTGTTTTTAAAGTGATTTAAACATGTACCTATGGCTGAAAAAACACTACTCTAAAAATTTTCAGATAAAGAGGAAGTGGAATCAGAAAAATATACCACATTATTTGGTATCAAATAGCAGGCCATAATAAAATGAAGCAAAGATAAGATGAAAATAAGCAATGTTACACAAAAATTCTTTGACAAAAGATAGATAAATAAAACAAAAAACATATTTCATCTGGGGACAACAAATTTAGATAACTACTTCTTACTTCCAAAAAGATTTTAAAATACTGTGAATTTTATAAGAGATAAAGATTATATGACATTTCTTCAGCAGAGCTAAAGTAAGAAATTACGAAAGAGAATAAAGCCACAACAGACATTAAAATCAAATTAGAAGTAAAAGCCAGCATATCTGACAATTACAAAACCAAGTAAGTAAGATACCGTAAGTGTTTAAAAATAGCAAAGAAGACAGAGAAAAAGCACTGCCATGAAAATCATTAGAAAGAAAAAGACTGGGAGGACAAACAATAAAAATCTACGGAGGGAACAGAATATACAGAAGAAATAAATTACATTAGTTACAATAAAAGATGATTTCATAACATGAAACAAAGCATAAATCTTCTGGTTAAATAGGCCCACCATGTACCAGGAAAAGAATGATTTTAAAAATTGTGAATAATGAATCATATCCTTGCAAATTTATTATATTTCAAGAATAACAAAAAAACTCTTAAAGTCCACAAGTATCTATTTTCTATTATAGTTTCATTTGCTTAGACTGATATCTTCTAATAGATATCTGATAAAAATAATTTTATAAACAAAAAATAGAGTTTTTTATTAAAGAAGAAATTTAGGCTGAAATATTAAATCACTAAGGATGCATTTTTATCTTTTATGTAAAAGGGTATAAGTAATCTAGAAATTTCCCACATTTTTATTAAGAAATACATTTTTAAATTGGCAAGGAGTCTGTACTAGTCATGGTTCTCCAGAGAAATGGAACCAATAGGATATCTGTGTCCAGATAGAGACAGGTAGAGACAGAGATTGAGATAGAGATTTAGCATAAAAATTGACTCACATGATTATGGAGGTCAAGAAGGTGCATGATCTGCCTTCTGTATTCTGAAGACCCAGGAAAGACTGTGGTGCAGTTCAGTCTGAGTTCAAAGGCCTGAGAACCAGGGCAGCTGTTGGTGTAACTTCCATTCTGAGGCCAAAGGCCTGAGAACTGGGGTTGGGGCTGCTGCTGGTGTAAGTCCCAAATCCAAAGGCCTGAGAACCAGGAGTTTTGATATTCAAGGGCAGGGGAAGATGAAAGTCTCAGCTTATGAAGAAAGAGAATTCACTCTCTTTCCACATTTTGGCTCTATTCAGGCTCTCTAAAGTTTAGACAATGCCCACTCATATTGGTGAGGGTGGATCTTCTTTATTCAGTTTGCTGATTCAAATGCTCACTCCTTCTAGAAACATCGTCACATACACACTCGGAAACAATATTTTACCAGCTATCAAGACATCTCTTAACCCAGTCAAACTGACACTAAAATTAGTTATCACAGCCTCACATATAGTGATCGCCTGTGCACATTTTAATAAAGATTTAAGATGTAATCTAAAGAGAGAACACAAAAAATAAGAATTATGATTACAATGATTTCTAGAATCAGAGACAGCAGAAAAAGATAATTATGAGATATGATTTTGCAGTTTTATTATGCTAAGTATTTAACATTTTTAAACAATTAGCTATTTTATCAATTTATTTTCTTTATCCAATTTGCCATCATTGATTGTATTCTGCTGTCTTCAGGCTTACCTTGTGTTTGTTTTCAAACGTCTTGAACGTTTCATGTTATTTTTATCATTTCTTGTTTCTTCTGTGTAACCTTTGGCCTCATCTCACAGGTTTTGATATGGAATATTTTTACCAATGTTATTTACTAGATACATTCCAATTAAACACCTCTGAATCAGTGATTCACTATGAGAAAGTTTTTTTACATTTCAAATGGTTGTTTTCTTCCCTCTTTTATTTCCACATATATAGTTTATGCTCTGAAATTTTGATCTCTATTTGTGTAATGTAGCTTAAACAATAATAAATCATTATCTCACTTAAGAAGTTAAGAAGAGATTCTCAGAGTTCCAGGACACAGTCTCTATTTATGCTCTATCCACCTCCTGTATTGGCAGTGTCTGCCCTAATGGACCCCAGACAATTGGATTACAGCAATTCCCAGTGTCCTTTTATGTCATGTAAATGTCCAAAAGCAAGGAGGGAAAAAGAAGTGTTCTCACAAGTCTCATAACAGGAATAAAAATATTTTCTAGAAGGACCAAAAGTATTTTCCCTTTGATCTCACACACCCAACAATTACTAACAAGTAGAAATGAGATTGCTATTGTCAACTTAGACCCATCATAGTTCATACACTGCTATTATCAAAGATGCCCACATTGGTATTCTGTTAACCAGAAAGAAGAGTGAATTATTTCTGGGTGGATGTACAACCAACGATATCTGCTTTACAAATAATAAATATGATTTATCTATATAGATATAATCTCATTATCTGTTACACATTATATATAATATACACTAATATATATACATATAAAACATATGTAACATATATCACATATATATGTGATATATATGTAATATATATATCACATATATGAGATATATATGTAATATATATATCACATATATGATATATATGTAATATATATATCACATATATGATATGTAATATATATATCACATATATGATATAATATATATATCACATATATGATATAATATATATATCACATATATGATATAATATATATATCACATATATGATATATATATAATATATATATCACATATATGATATATATATAATATATATATCACATATATGATATATATATATAATATATATACATCTATATATATTATATATATAGATATAATCTCACTGATATTTTCTGGTCCCCTCTAAATTAATTTTGATGTTTTTATGTACTCAATCTGCGAGGAACTCAGAATAAGGTGTTAAAGTCTCCCATTACTATTATACATTTGGATTGCCAATGTTTTTTACTTTATACATTTCAATTCTATATTTGTTTGCTGCAAAAGATTGATGATAAAGTTTTATACATTGTGTAACATGTAGTGCTTATTGCAAGAAAGGAATCTTTGAATGTTAGTATTTTTCACCTTGAATTCAATTTTATGTTTGTCAGATATAGCTTTGTGATTTCTTTAGCCTTTCTGTGTCACTAAATGTGTATATTGGTTTTTATTTGTTTCAATGTGCTTTTTTTTTCTTTTTTGTTAGGTAGATTTCCATTCATACTAAGATGAGGAAAATATTTGGTCTTATTTCTGTGTTACTCTATGTCACTAGTTTTTTGCTTTATCTTTTTATGGCACTGAAATATTTCTTTATACTCTGTTTTTGTTACATTATCTGTGTATCCTAAGGTATACCTCACCCCTAGTAATTTGGAATATATGAATTCTATTTTACGTTTTACATTAGTTGCGTTTGTACACCATAATAGCTTCTGAAGCAACTAGTCTATTGATTCTCCTCCACAAAAATCAAAATAGAAGTCATACATTAGTAAATGATTTTCAAAAACTGGTACACAAGTGGAAAAACAGGGATTCCTGTGTATTTTTACAGAAGTGTAAATGTTCGAAACCTTTTTGGAAGGCAATTTAATAGTTTATCAAATACTCACATCCCATGTCTTAACAATTCCACTTCTAAGAATCTAAAAGAAATGCAGAAAAAAAATGCTCATACAATGGTGATTCCATTATGATTGCTATGGTGATTCCATTTTGAAGAGCCTTGTGTGTTATGGCAAAATATGTGTGTGTGTGTGTGTGTATGCATATCACTTGAGGGTTGATAAATATATGTGCATGTGTATCTTCATAAATATGTATGATATGTATCTTAATAAAACAATGAGGAAAAATGCTACATATTGACATAGATCTATCAGAAATACAAAGTTTAAAAAGCCCAACGCAGTAATTATTGTATAGCTCCATTTATGTTAAAATGTACATAAGCATATATATTTAAGTAAATGAATAGAAAATGTTCTAGAAACATACACTGAAAAGTATTAGCCATTATTATTTCAGGGAAGAAAAGTAGAATAGGGAAGTAAGAAGAGAAGATTATATGTCATTCTGTATTTTGTTTTAAATGTTTATAGTAAGAATGTAGTCATATAAGTATTTTTTAAAAAGTGAAAAAAAATTTTTTTGAGATAGAGTTTTTTACTCTTGCCCAGGCTGGAGTGCAGCGGCACGATCTCAGCTCACTGCAACCTCCGCCTCCAGAGTTCAATTGATTCTCCTGTCTCAGTCTCCTGAGTAGCTGGGATTACAGGTGCCCACGACAACGTCCAGCTAAATTTTTTGTGTTTTTAGTAGAGACGGGGTTTCACCATGCTGACCAGGCTAGTCTGGAACTCCTGACTTCAGATGATTCACCCACCTCGGACTCCCAAACCCATCTAGATGTAGAATCATGTAAAAACAGCTAGAAGAATTCTGAAAATAAAGGATTTTCCCTGATAGATATTAAAATAGTATGCTTAGCAGAAGATCAAACACCGCATGTTCTCACTCATAGGCGGGTGTTGAACGATGAGAGCACATGGACAAAGGGAGGGGAGCACTACACACTGGGGTCAGTTGGGGGGACATAGGGGAGGGACGGTGGGGGTGGGGAGCTGGGGGGGGATAGCAGGGGGAGAAATGCCACATGTAGGTGATGGGGAGGAAGGCAGCAAATCACACTGCCATGTGTGTTCCTATGCAACAATTTTGCATGTTCTTTACATGTACCCCAAAACCTAAAATACAATAAATAAATGGGAAAAAATAAAAAAAATAAAATAAAAAAAATAAAATAGTATGCTTGACAAAAGGATCAAGTAAATGGACTAACAGTTCACAAAAGAACTCAAGGGCCAGGTGCAGTGGCTCAGGCCTGTATTCCAGCACTTTGGGAGACCAAGGAGGGTGGATCAGCTGAGTTCAGGAGTTCGAGACCAGTCTGGCCAACATGATGAACCCCCCCCCCATGAAAAATACCCAAAAAATTAGCCAGGCATGGTGGCAGGCCCCTGTAATTCCAGCTACTTGGGAGGCTGAGGCAGAAGAACTGCTTCAACCCTGGAGGCTAAGGTTGCGGTGAGCAGAGATCAGTGCCACTGCACTCCAGCCTGGGCCAAAAGCACAAAACTCTATCTCAAAATAAAATAAAATAAAATAAAATAAAATAAAATAAAATAAGACCCAAGTATACACATCAATTTAGTAAATGAAAAAGGTAGAATGTAAATTTGGTTTTTTTAATAATAGAAACATTACTGAAAAATGTAAAACCATTTTTGAAAAGAAATCAAGGCTTCTCACTGTATGCTAAATTATAGATTTAGCAAATATTTAATTTTAGTAAGAAAGCCATAAAAATCAATAGAGTATTATTTCTTTAATTATTTTGGTTTGGAATGCTCTCTCTCAACATAAAAATTAAACCAGAAACTAGAACAAAAAATTACAGGGTTAACAACATAAAAATGGAAACATTCTATATAGAAAATAAGCATACCATACATAAAATTTAAAGCAGAAAATAAGTTTGCTAAAAAGCATTTAGAAGATGAATAAAGAATTAATATCCAGTTATATAAAGAGTTCTTACCAATTAATAAGTAAAAGACAAACGTAACCAAAGAAAAAGGGGTAAGTGGCAGGTGTTCACATCAAGCTATTTTCAACTGTCCTGTTTTTGTAATTACAAATTTCAAGATTTTGCAATCTGCAATCATTGATCCCAAAGATCTGATGACACACAAACCACCAGCAGTGTTGTCTGGAATTCAACCTACAGTAGATTTTCCTACTTTTTGCAAGAGGAAATTAAACTGCAGAAGCCTTTTGCTTAACACACATTTATTTTTCCCTGCACAAAGCCTATTTTGACAACAGAATTCTTTCCATGAAAAGATAAAAGAAAAGCCCTCTGGCATTAACTTAAACAAACATTGCCAATTGGTATTTTCGTATTTCTCTGGTTACTCTAGATAGTTTATATCAAAAAGTTGAAGGCAAGTATCTTTTCTTCAATGATGCCTGCCTGCCTTGGCAAGCCTAGATGCTGCTCTGGGATTCTGAGAATTAACACCATTTCATTTTATAATTCCCATTTGGATAGATATTTCGTAGAAAGAGCAAGTCTACATCTATTCAAAATATTCATTTCTTTGTTGTTTTGGCAAAACAGCTAATGAAGCCGCTTTGAATAACTTGAATTTTGTCAAATGTTTTTAGCAAGTTAAGATATTAGTGAAAGCACAGAACTTGAACTCCTGTTTTGAAATGTTTTCTCGGGAAGTAGCTAGGGATTATCACTCAAGCATTCACCATAGCAAGAAATACATTAATCAGTATGAGATAAGCACTGGCAGAAAGAAATTATGATTCAAGGAAACTTTTTTGAGTTCTTACTGCTTGCCAAGCCTTATTCAAAGCAGTGAGGAAACAGCATGCAACAAAATAACTCCCAGCAGTTGAGCTTCACTGTA